CCAAATCAGCTAGACTCGTTGAGCTTGTCTTGTTAGTTTGTCTAAGTAAAAAGAAGCAGATCGACACAATGCTGGGAGGAAAAGTAAGACAGACAGAAAGATCAGAGGGAAAGTAAAGAAGTAAATCTAGGCCTATGACCTACCAGTTGCGCCCTCCAACCACCCACTTTGAGCTTGTCGAACAGGACAGTGAGAATGTCTCCGCCACATATGGTCGCTTTTTAGGACAAGCAGGATAACCCAGATTTCGGGGGTTTCCAGTTTCTAAAAATCTTGACCTACATCAAAAGTGAGCATTCGCTACCTACAGGAGAAGTTTGGTTTCATTGGTGTGTATATTTGTTTGGTTATAGAGAAAACTCTCCTTGCCTTTTAAAGAAACTGAACAAGGGGCAAAAACTTTACGTTCCATTTTCTCAAAACAGCATTTTTCGGGATACCCCACTTGTTCTTAAAAGCGTCCATATTTTACCTGAGTGTAGGTTACAACTCCGGCGTCATTGTTTGATGGGTTCAAATCTGTGCTTCATAAAAAAAAATCTTCAATAGAATAGAGGAGATACAGCTATTCGTTAAAAGAAAGCGATGAAAGACATAGCAAAAGTTATAAAAGAAAACGAATCTCACACATCCGATGGACAGCATGACGGTATGTTCAGAAGCAGCAATTGAAGGAGAATTGAAAAAACAACAACAGCAACAACACAGGGAAGCCCTCGAAGAAAAGCCAGCATACTACGTAGAAAGTATAATACTTATTACAGCAAGGTATCGACTTCAGAGAGAGAGAGACCCTGGCTGAATTTCATGGCGTTAAAAGTTTAGTTTTAGTAATAGCTTTACGGAACTTGTGAAACGCAGTAAGGCTATATCAAGTGCTGAAGATTACAGGTGTTACAAGATAGTAAAAAACGCAAAAAAGGGAGGAGCATCGATCAGGGCGATAGATTGGAATGAAGGAAGAAACCACACAAGAGCACCCGCCCACCACCTGCATGAAGTAAAATTATCAGCCTTTGGAGGGATGAAACGTATTGCACCCGGCTCTCCACCCTTTGCTCGGTGATAGAAGTTAAATCCCAGCTCCAGCTCTAAAATTTTTATTATACACAGGATGTATGGAGGAGCTAAACCCGCACAGCGCATCCAGTATGATACAGAACAGTCAAGTAGAGAGTAGAGAGTGTTGTATGATGCGGGTAGCTAGACGTTCTTCTTTTTAACCTCACCAAAACATGTACAAAATATGCTAAAGTTTTTCCCATGCTTAAAAGACAGGAGAGGAAAATGGCATTCTTTGCTTTGTGTTTCGCTTGGTTCGGCTCTTTAATTTTTTCTTTTTTTTGTTGTTTTTTTTTTTGGGGGGGGGTGGGGGTGTAGGATTTTGGGTTGTAGGGTTCGGTGTTTTTATTTATCTTAATGATGCTGTCCAAGACTTTCACCTCTCTTAGACACTGACGACTATGTTTCTCCTCGACTATTGGTGGCGTTCTTAAACAATCTCTGATGTACTATAAGTCTTACAATTCAATGTTTCCAGGAGCCCGCTCTAAGGCCTGCAAACCTCACGAGGAATCAAAGCTGCATGTGACACAAAATGACGTCACCAAGTCCAGTGCGACCAACTTGTCGTACATAGTGCCCAAACCCGGCCTGGAAAAAGGGTCGGGCTACACGGAAATACTGGTCAAGCCCAGCCCAACAAGAACACCACAGACTCCGCATCCACCAATCACGGACTTCCACAGTACAGACCCGACGGTGCTGGGCGTATACAACAAAGCTAGCTCGTCTCTGATTGGTCAAAATCTGTACCGCAAAGGCTATGTTGTTCTTTTGTATTTGTTGCTGTACGGTGTTTTATACAAATTATCTGCAAGATGATCTCTTTTTAATATTATTCTGCTGTGTGGTTAAGATTTGCGTGTAATTTAACAGGCAGAGCTTGCGTGAGTGCCTAAATTAACATAAATAATGCTGAGATAATAAAAGTACTGGTGAGCGAGAGAGAGAAAGAAGAGGAGAGGGGAGAAAGACTGTGAAAGAAACAAGACAATGAGAGTGACAGGCATATACATTCACAGACAGAGAAAGGGAGGGGGAGGTGGGGAGAGAAAGAGAGAATGTGACCGTTAAATCAACTGGTAACGTTTTACACTCCTATCAACACGGTTTAGATCATTTAGGCAGCGGGCTACCTTCGACCCTGCCTGCCACGGCCAACATGGGCTCAGTAGGATACAGCATCCTAATATGTACTTAGGGCACTCTACAAATCAGATTCATCAATGTGAGCAGGGCCAGGCAGTTTTTTCCCCATGAATAGAGGAAAAGCTACCATTTTGGCACAACACGGCCGATTCGACTCGAGACCTTGAAAAACAAACATGTTTGATTTTGAAGGTAGCAGCAGTCGAATTACGACGAATTCGGTCAAACTGTGGCAAAATGGTCGATTTTTCAGTGTCCAAAAAAAAAAAGAAAATATGTGCCAAAATGGCAGCTTTCTTCCCCTATCCATTAAAGAAAATCTGACAGGCCCCGACTTGATCGAAGGAATTCGATTGGCAGCGTGAACTGAGTATAACTATACTACATGTATAACAGACAGACGGAGATACTTGCTCGATAACTTCCCCATGTGGAAGTCGAACCCACGTCTTCTCCGTCCAACGACAGAGCCTAAGTTAACTAAGTATTACACCATAGACGCTGGGATAGAGAGGGGGAGAGAGAGAGAGAGAGAGAGAGAGCGAGACAGAGAGAGAAGAATAGAGGGAGAAGATAGAACATGAATTTATGCATGCGTGTTTTTGAGTGAGTGAGTGAGTGAGTGAGTGAGTGAGTGAGTGAGTGAGTGAGTGAGTGAGTGAGTGAGTGAGTGAGTGAGTGAGTGAAAAAGAAAGAAAAGAGAGAAACAGAAAGAGACGGAGCTAGAGAGACAGACAGACAGACAGACAGACAGACAGACAGACAGACAGACAGACAGACAGA